AGACCTGAGCCTTCAGCCTTGGCTCCAGAAACATCGGTTTCTAATCATGGAGCAAGCTGACCAAAGGCCAACCGCCTTCATGCCACACTCACCACTACTATGGAACCCTGGGGCCTAAATCATCTCCCCTCCCTAGGACCACCATCTTGCAACCTGGACACCTGCATGTGGAGTAGGAACATTCTCCAGGAAACAAGAGCCTGGGCAGACACGGTTCTTTAGCAATCTGACTGTCTACAGCACTTCCAGGTAAAAGCAATTCAGGGTACAGAACAGATGAGCCAGGAAGGTAAGAGGGAGCCCAACGCTGTGTCAGACACATGCACCTTCCAACTCTCCTTCCTCCTCGTTCAGTGACAGACACCCACCTGGACGATCGCAGCGACAATGCCAACACACCATCCGCAGTGGACAGTACATAACACCTGGAAGGAGAGCAAGAGAACAAAGTAAGAAGGAAATACTCCGTTTCCAGCATCTCTGGACACAGCGACAGGCGTCAGTCTCCTCTCCTCAAGGCTGACCATGGGCAAGAGGAGACGCTGTTCAAAACCTGCAAAGGGAGTCTGGTCAAGTTTCCTGTCTGGGCTTAGCTCACCAGTCTGAGAAGTAAAAGTCACTACCTATGCTTTTTACCAAAAATAAATAAATAAATAAAAAGGTGGTGGGAGGAGAATGTGTGTCTCATCTCAGTGAGAAACAGACTAACCACAGGAAACCATGACCAAGGGATCACCTGGGGAGGACCGAAAACACATGACAGCAGCTCAAAGGCAGCAGGCCAGTGAGGCCTCAGAGGGAGGCTTCAAGGAGGGAAGGATGGGTTGACACTTGTGTTGGGTTTCGAACTTATTTCTAAGTAGCCCAAAGTCATAATTTAAAAGCAAAGATTCTTGGGACCAGTAGATGGCGTAATGGTGAAGTCACTGGACTCCCATGTTCGAGTCCCGGACCTGGTGACTTAAAACACACCAGGGACCAGCAGATAGCATAATGGCTACGTCGCTGGACTCCCATGTAGTCAACCGCAGTTTGAGTCCTGGACCCTGTGGCTTAAACTCATGCCAGGCGTCTGTGTGTGCATGCCCAAGATCCCAAGAGGAGAATGGAGGAGAAGGGATTGATTTCTCACTTTCTGTTTCTATGTCTCTCTCTGGCTGGCGAGTGCACGCGCCCTATAGCAAAAACCTCTCCAAAAAAAAAAAAAAAACCTCACACCAAGTATATGTGCATGTGTGCCCAAGATCTGAGAGAGGAATGGAAAAGAAGTGATTGTAGTGTGGCCTTTCCCTCTGGGAGGTGATTTCTTGCTTTCTCTCTGTCTCTCTGTCTCTCCAGCAAGCACGTGTGCCCTATACCAAAAATTTATTTTTAAAAACAAATACAAGGGACCAGCAGTTAGCGTAATGGCTATGTCACTGGACTCCCACGTAGTCGACCGCGGTTCGCGTCCCAGACCCGGTGGCTTAAAATTCACACTGGGCACGTGTGCGTGCATGCCCAAGATCCCAAGAGGAGAATGGAGGAGAAGGGATTGCGGCGTGGCCACCCCCCCGGGGGGTGATTTCTCGCTTTCTGTCTCTCTATCTCTGTCTGTCTGGCGAGCACACGCACCCTATAGCAAAATCCTCTCCCCAAAAAAAGAAAAAAAAAAATACAAAAAGCATAGACTCTTAAACGTTCTCTGTCTGTCTGGCGAGCACACGCACCCTATAGCAAAAACCTCTCCCAAAAAAAAGAAAAAAAAGTACAAAAAGCATAGAATCTTAAACGTAAGAAATGTCTCAGCTACAATACAGTCCAAATTTCCCCCGCAACAGATATCTGATTTTATAGCACAGCACTGCAACTCTCAGAGCTGGAGAGGACCTCAAGGGATGTCTACCTGGAGGCAAGTGATTTATTACAAATTTGACAGGTGAAGAAATTGCATTTTAATCTAACTCACAGGTCTGGCTGGAATAAAATGCCTTTAAAATACATATGTTGCTAAAAGCCACACCCTCGTTTTGTAAGCTTTAAGAGACAAAGCAGAGATAATCCTGGATGGTTCCGGGACTCACTCCTTCCATCTCCCAGGCGGCCCTTTCTGTCGGTATTCACTGATACCTCCGTGCTGTGTAGCTCTTTGTAGCTCCGGTAAGTGGCTAGGAACCTAGGCAGGTGCCTGCGGCGGGAACACCTGAGATGAGGGCCGATTACCTTTTCCAGTCTCTCCCTCCTGAGGTGTGTGCTCTACTGGTCAGTGAGTTTGTTATATCGAGGTGAGATCTCCTCTTCCAGGATGGATTACCCAGACCATACAATGGTCTTGTAACTCTAACTGAGGTACGTTCACTTTGGGGTATCTGAAATAGTCCAAAGTAAAGCCACTCCCCTCCCAACCCCAAAGGTGGCTATTATGTTTTTACAGAAAACATCTACAGGTGAAACTTTTTTTTTTTATTAAAATATAAATGTTTCAATAAAAAATGAGCAAGTGACTTGGACAAATGAAACGTTCAACACACGTAAACAGCCAATAGACATGAAAAGTGACCAATATAGGAAATGCAAATGAAAATGAGAGATCAATTTTTGCCTAGTCAGTGACTAATATAATAATTAAGAATATCCAGGGTATGGACCAGCAGTTGGCATAGCAGTTGTATTGTTGGACTTCCACGTAGTCGACTGCAGTTTGAGTCCCAGACCCAGGGGCTTAAAATTCACACTGGGCATGTATGAGTGCATGCCCAAGATCCAGAGAAGAGAGTGGAGGAGAGAGACTGGTGTGGCCATCCCTCCTCGGGGGTGATTTTTCGCTTTCTCTGTCTCTCCAGCAAGCACATGCACCCTATAGCAAAACTCTCTCTCTGAAAAAAAAAAAAGAATACCTAGGGCCAGCCAATGGCTTGCTGCTTAAGATGTCTAGATCTTACGCAGCTGACTGTGTGGTCCGAGTCCTAGACCTGGTGGCTTGAAAACAAGTCAGGTAGGGAACCAGCAGTTAGCGTAATGGCTATGTCGCTGGACTCCTTCCCACTGTAGGAGGATAACAGGCATATGCACACACCTACTACCAGGTTTTTAGAGCCACCAGGGCTGGGATTTGTACTGCAGCCAGTCATGTGAGATCTGCTTCCCTTAACCACTAAGCTACAGGACCTGTCCAAACTGGATATCATCCTTACTGAATAATCTAAGCGCATCCCTGGGCCTCCTCTCAAAAAGTCCTGACATGAGACCAGCAGTTAGTGTAATGGCTATGTCACTGGACTCCCATGTAGCTGACCACGGTTCGAGTCCCGGGTCCGGTGGCTTAAACTCACACTGGCTGCGTGTGCATGCGTCCCCAAGATCCTGAAAGAAAAATAGAGGAGAAGGGATAGCAGCGTGGCCATCTTCCCAGGAGGTGATTTCTCACTTTCTGTCTCTCTGTCTCTGTCTTTCTGGCAAGTACATGCACCCTATAGCAAAAGCCTCTCAAAAAAAAAAAAACAAAAACAAAAACAAACAAACAAAAAAAAGGTCATCATCATGCAACCACCTTCAGGAAAGAGGCACTCATGGCTCCAAGTTGGTCGTAATGGCAAGTGAAGAAATTAATGAAGATTATCCAGTAGAAATTCATGAGTATGTATCAACATTTGAGAATTCCATTGGTGCATAGATGAGATGCTGAAGACCATGATGTCTGTCGTGCTCACAGCCCTGAGTTGGTCGTAATGGCAAGTGAAGAAATTAATGAAGACTGTCCAGTAGAAATTCATGAGTATTTATCAACGTCTGAGAATTCCATTGGTACTTTGGATGAGATGCTGAAGACCATGTCTGTTTCTAGAAATGAGTTGTTGCAGAAGTTGGACCCACTTGAACAAGCAAAAGTGGACTTAGTTTCTGCATATACATTAAATTCAATGTTTTGGGTTTATTTGGCAACTCAAGGAGTTAATCCTAAGGAACACCCAGTAAAGCAGGAATTGGAGAGAATCCAAGTATACATGGACAGAGCCAAGAAGGTAACAGACAAGGAAAAGGCCGGCAAGCTGGATAGAGGTGCAGCTTCAAGATTTGTAAAAAATGCCCTCCGGGAACCAAAACCTAAATATGCATCGAAAGTTGGCAGTAAAGAAAAAAGTAAAAATTAACTTTTTTGCTTTTGAAGTATACTTATTAAAAACATACATTATTTTTATTATTTTCACAAAATAGATGATTACGTGGCAATGCAAGGTTTAAATGTATTCCTTACAGAATTCATATGTAAGTTTATACAGTTTAAGTTTGTAGTGGTAACGACTGTTTCCCCACAGAAAGATTAAATTATCTTTACTGATATTCCTACAGAACACCATGAGATTTTTAAAATTGTGATATATTTTACCATCTCTTTTGACAAGACTCACAGTTCCTTATATAAGTCAATCTTGCAAATACTATTTGATAAGCAGCTGTGAAATTTAAGTTAAATGTTCTTTGTAAACATTTGTACTATTTTATGAATGATGACCTTATAAAGTATATTATTTGTAGGCTGAAGCTCCCCCCAGGGGGAATGGCCACACCGCAATCCCTTCTCCATTCTCCTCTCGGGATCTTGGGTACGCACCGCACACGCGTCCAGCGTGAGTTTTAAGCCACCGGGTCCGGGACGCAAACCGCGGTCAACTACGTGAGAGTCCAGCGACATAGCCATTACGCTAACTGCTGGTCCTGGCAAATGCTATTTGATAAGCAGCTGTGAAATTTAAGTTAAATGTTCTTTGTAAACATTTGTACTATTTTATGAATGATGACTTTATAAAGTATATTATTTGCAGGTTGAAGTTATAAGTACATCTGTTTTTACTATATTATATTAAGAAAGGGTGAAATGACTTAAATGTCTATTTTTTTCTGTGTATTAATAGTTACTTTATCATGTTTTCATGATTTTAAGAATTTCTTTTTTGATATTAAAGTGTGAAATCAAAAAAAATTTTAAAAGAAAAAAATAATCAAGATATAATCTAGCACAGTCTTTCTGGAGGGCAATTTGGCAAGCTGTGGAACATCATTTGACCCATTAAGTTCACTTCAGAAAATCATTTCCCAAATGCACTTGTACTGGTACCCAAACATTTGTGCAAAGATTTTTTTATTCCAGCATCATTTTTTTTTTTGAGAGAGGTTTTTGCTATAGGGTGCGTGCACTCGCCAGACAGAGACAGACAGAGAAAGAGAAAGTGAGAAATCACCCCCCAGGGGGTATGGCCACGCTGCAATCCCTTCTCCTCCATTTTCCTCTTGGGATTTTGGGCACGCACGCACACGTGCCCAGTGTGAGTTTAAGTCACCGGGTCTGGAACTCGAACAGCAGTCGACTACATGGGAGTCCAGCAACATAGCCATTACACTAACTGCTGGTCCTATTAACACCATTTTTTTTGGAGAGGTTTTTTCCAACATCATTATTTATCAACAAAGAACTAGTTAAATTAATTCTGATCAAAAAATCATAATGTAAGACTAAACAAATATCAAGCATAAAAGGACAATGTAGATTTACATATATTGCACAGAAGAGTTTAAGTCTGATAAATTGCTATGAGAAAAAACCAACTTGCAAAGTGGTATATAAAGTGAAACTCTATTATTGTTTATAGAAAAATTACATCTATATATGTACTGAAGTCTGGAGAGAAAGAAACCAAAGTATACAATGGAAAAAGGTGATGGGAAAATAAAAGACATTTTCATTTTCTATTTTATGTATTTTTGGGGTATAAAATCATGTTATTACTTCTACAGTTAATAGGAAAAACTCCACCAGTCCCACAGACAGGTGGAAAGAGGACGAGAACCTGGCTTACCTGACCACCTGCTGGGGGACAAAGTCCTGCAGGGGCTCCTCAGAGTAGGAGTCACTCAGGTGAAACATGCTGACCTTTCCCATCTTCCCAAAGGGGAAGGCGACAGTCAGCCCCTCGTTGGGAGTCACCTTCACCACTCGGCCCATGGCCACTTCCCCTTTCTCAAGCTTGTGTGGACCTGGTGGGAGAATAAACCTGATTCAGAGAAAAGGGAATGAAGCAAGAAGCTGGAATATTACCAACCACCTGCTGGGTAAGATGGAGGCTAGCCAGGCTTGGAGAGTCCAGGCTGAGTGACCAGAATGATCCTGAAGACCCAATCGAGCAGTGCGGCCAAGAGTCCCAGGAGTGGTGGCAGATAAGCTGTTCTGAGGGACCTGAGGAAACCACTGTGCAGGTAAAGATGACTCAGCTTGAAGTGGAGAGGCTCAGACAGAGGGCAAAGCCACAGGAGAAAGACTGTTCCAAGAAAGCACCGCGCCAGGCCTTATGAGGATACAGCACAGAGGGCATCCTTCAACATGGGCAATGACAGATCTCATCTCACCGCGGCCCACACCCCTTCCCTGACCAGGCACTCTTCCGGCCCCATACCAATGAGTGAGAGACACAGGAAGGCCTTGGAGGAATCTGGGCCAACCACAGTGGCTTTCAGGGCCTGGCCAATCTGGAACTTCTTATCTGGATGTTTCAGAACCTGGAAGAAAAAAATAAATTTCCTCTGAGGCTTCAAGAAACGTCTATCTTGAAGTCTCTATAGCAAATACCTCCCAAACCAATCCTTAATTAAGTATGGGGTTCCTTGTACCGACTGTGAGCGCACACGCCAGGCAGTGAGTCAAACTGAGGATGCGCCAGTTGCTTTTCCAGGGACCTCAGCACACTGACCTTGAAGCTAAGAGAAGCTAGCAGCAAGGGAATTCTTCCACGGATGTCCGGTGTAATCTCCACCTCAAGCCATTTCTTCACCACATTGTACTGTAGGAAAACCAGAGAAATGGAACAGGGCAAGCACCAGGATCCATTTTCCCAGCAATGAGGGAGGGGCACTTGTGCTGAAGCTGGAAGGGTAGTAAGCCAGGAATGAAGGCTGCTACGTGACAGGTGGGAACCAGCATGAGGACACAGGAAGGGAAAATGGCAGAGGGCGTCTCAGAGACTCACAAGGGCAGATCAGGAATAGCCTCATATGCCACTTTAAGACATCGGGTTTCTGTACGTCTACACATTAGCTATGGAATGGGTAACTAAGGGGACCACGTGCCTGTGGCATGCTCAGAGATGCTATGGAAGGGGAATCCAGCAATGATGAAGAGCCCGTCACCTCTCAAGGTCAAACGCGATCCAACGTCCTCCCTGACACGTTCCCACGGTACAGGTTACACTGCTCCCTCATTCCTTGCCCCTCCCTTCCCTTTTCTTTAAGAGACAGGTTCTCGCTACATTGCCCAGGCTGGCCTCCTGAGGAGCTGAGATGACAGGTGTGCGCCACCATGCCCAGCCCCCTTCCCTTTCTGAACTCTGGTTCCACTTAGGGTTAGCACACACCTGGCACCCAATTACAGTGCTTCCCATTGCACCTGACCTTTATGATGGACAAATACCTAAAATTCAATATTGCATTCATTTTAAATCACGCCCTATAATTTTCTTTCCATTTGTACACATAATCCACAACCATAGTGGGCTGCTTGCTATTGTTTCATATTTCAGCTTCCTGATTAGAACGGACGTTTCCTAGAAGCAGGGGCCATGTATCATCTCCCACAAGCGCAGCATGGTAGCACACGCAGACTCTAATGCCCAGTGCTAATGACCCTCGTCTCCAGTTTCACCTCCCTTCTGCAACGAGGCTGGCATCGCATTACGAGACACAACTAGGCACCTTCTTTAAGAAGCAAGTCACGGTCTGACCAGCCTGGTACTGTTTAATCTTCTCCGCAGGGCTCACAGAGTGAGTGTTGAGAGCAGTGTGGCCATCCTCCTCCAGCTCACTGTTTGTAGAGAGGCAAAGAAAGAATAAACCAACTTCTGGATAAGGCTTCCAGTCTAAAACCACCTCCCCCACGTGGCTGTGGACGACTTCACAGGGCTCCCCTATTTACACCCGCCCTCCACAGCCCTATTTCCCTCTTTAAAGGGGAATGTTCACAATTCTATGTTGGCCTGGGAGCTAATCGTCTGCACTTTATTCACCTCGTATAAATAAGCTGTGATGTAGGGGGGCCCATAGTAATCTTCACAAACTTAGAAAACATAGTTACGCATCATTCCTAACACTTTAGCTACTGGTTTACAGTTTGCAGAAACTGTTTTTGAAACAGTCTGTCACTGAATCTGACAACAATGTCACGTGCAGACGGGGCAGGGTAGATACTATCAGATCCATTTTATGCTACTGAACCAGGAGCTCACGCCAGGGCTGCTGACTCAAAATTCCAGGACGCGCGCGGTTCTCTATGCTACACGGCCACTGTCATTTTCTTGATTCTCCTTCTCTTCTCAGAAAAGCAACAAAGGGCCCTGGTATGAAAGTCTGCAAATCGGGACCAGCAGCTGGCGTAATGGCTCTATCACTGGACTCCCATGCAGTCGACCATGGTTCAAGTCCTGGACCCAGTGGCTTAAACTCACACCAGGTGCATGTGTGTGCGTGCCCAAGATCCCGAGAGAAGAAGGGATTGTGGCGTGGCCACGCGCCCTGGGGGGGTGATTTCTCGCTTTCTGTCTCTGTCTTTCTGGCAAGCACACGTGCCCTATAGCAAAAAAAAGAAAGTCTGCAAATCACTTCAAAGTAATCACAGAACTATCATTCCACCTATTTGAAACATTTTAAAAACAAAATGAGGGGTGGGACCAGCAGTTAGCATGATGGCTATGTCACTGGACTCCCATGTAGTTAACCGCGGTTCGAGTCCCGGACCCAGTGGCTTAAACTCACACCGGGTGCATATGTGTGCGTGCCCGATTCCCAAAGGAGAATGGAGGAGAAGGGACTGTGGTGTGGCCACCCCCCCGGGGGATATTTATCGCTTTCTGTCCCTCTGTCTCTCTCTGTCTTTCTGGTGAGTGCATGTGCACTATAGC